TCTGTCTGTCTGTCTGTCTGTCTGTCTGTCTGTCTGTCTGTCTGTGTCCGTATCTGTCCGTCTGACTGTCTAACTATACTAAACCACTAACGCCAATATTTCTAAAAACATGGACAAACAACGTCATTGATTGAGCAATTCGTAAGCTGGAGCTGTGTACATAAATGCTTCAGTGGAGGGAACTACCCACAGCCTAAGATGCTTTGCCCCTATAAGGAGGTGGCATCAATTACATGCTACTGCTGACAATGTACCAGTGTTATCTACTGTGTAGTGTGAACGTTCGATGGGACATCACCCTTCGTTACTGACATACGTTAAGGAAACATGATAACAATATTATGTAGGATTTCGGGCCCTGAACCAACAATTTTATCATAAGGAACACTGTACCAGAGCATTTGGAATATTCAGACAACTTGATGTTCTGAGAGGCACTGACATTGTGCAGTACATAGGCCTCTCCCATTCCGCCTCCATCTAAATGTGAGTGCCAGGCCAGGATTTATCCCATGACGTTCGGGAGAACAGCTGAGCACTATAACCACTGCTTTACCACGGAGGGCTTATAAATTCTACCGGGTAATATTGCGATAGACGATGATGCTGGTAATAAGCGATTGTGCCACATGTATCCTCTTTTCTCCTGTTTATTTCTCTTGTAATGCACAATCAGAGTGCAATATGAAGAACATTTTTAGCATCTTGTTCATCTGTGCCTAGTGACTGAATGCACATTTGTGCAAATAAAGTAGACAAAAATTTTATTTGTGTGTTAACTCGACAATTCAATTAAATGAAAAACTAATGGGTTTTCCGGACGATCTACCAACTCGCGCTCTCTTGCCGTATAAAATGGGGTGATTTGTAAGTGTGTAGGTATATATAGAAATTAGCAGTGGCTTAGCTCAGCGATACCAGGGTATACGTAGCATGAGCTATGGATGAACTACAGATGGACAGACGGATGGACGGTTGACTAGCGAGCGAGCAATCTTACGCGAGCCAAGCGCGAGCCCACAAGCGACACGTCACTCTGGGAGCTCCCGGACCTTCTTCAGCGCGTAGCTGTACGCCATGTGACGTCACTGCTCCTCGCGCCTGCGCGGAATCGCTTGCCGTAAGCCACGCAAGACCGCTCAATCTCGGCTGATGTAGCGTGCGCTAAGAAAACATGCTTTATTCCTCCAACAGAGTAATCGGTATTAAACCACAGTAAAACGTATCCTTACAGAAGTAGCTTAATGCTTAGTGTAGATTGACATAAACAGCTTATACAATGTGTGTTGGCATTGGAGAACTAAAGCACCGTTTAACGTGGGTGCATCCAAGTTAACGCTTAGTGATACACTTTGCTCCTGACGACTAACATTCGTTAATATTGATTAAGAGAGAGAGAAGCAAAGCAGAAAGGCAGGTAGGTTAACCAAGCTAGGCTTGGTTGGCTACCCTATACGGAAGGGGGGGGGGAGGTATGTAGTACTTGATCATGAGAGTGGAACCAAAGAAAGTGGTGTGGCAGGCAGAAAAGTGTGACTGATTGCATGCCATACTTGGGTACAGGTCACTTACTCACCTAATGGTAGTTTATTGAATGCCACTAACGGATTAGAGGGAAACGCAAGGCGTGTTGTAATTTCTCTGTAGGCCAGCCACGATTTTTCGTGGGGTGAGTGTAAGTGGGGAAATTGTAGTTACATTTAGGCAAACCAGACGCCCTGTTGGGGTTGCAGAGCTATTTTCGCAGTAGATGGATGCTGTGAGAGCCGAAGTTTTGATTTAGCTCACTAACTGCTCGTTCATTGAGGCGTCGAAAAAACTGCACATCAATCGCAAACGCAGTTATTAGGACGGACGCCAAGAAAAGACGTGCTGAGGGCACTATTCGTAGTTCTCACTGTCATAATGCATCATTTTACTTTACCAAAAACGCCCTCAAAGGACGTCTTAGAATATAAAAGGCGTGTTTTAAAAGCCTACGCAGTGAGTGATCGTGGCGAATCGGATACTGCCTTCGGCATGTGATGTCATCAACCGAGTTGTCGTAGGTTCGACTCCTGTTGGCGGAACCTTCTGTCGTGTGATCATGTGTATTACTTCAACGACATTTCCGTGACAGAAATACGTCACTGAAATATGGACGTACTGCAGCATAAAACAATTTCGTGTTAAATAAAAAAGCACATAAAGTGCATGGCGCCCTGTAGGGTTAAAAGTGCTTTTTAATAACGCGATAGCGTTAGAGATCTCATGTCGCAAAAGTTCTGTCGTCGGCGTCGGCACCGTTGGTTGTGAGTGAAAAATCCTGCGTGAGCGTAATTTCGAGAACGAAGCAAAAAAAAAAGTAGAATACCATTTTTGGTCTCATTAATGATTGAACTCCAGACGTTCGCGTGGCAAGCAGGTGTCCTACCAAAAAGCCACGATGTCACATGCAGCTGCTCCGGGAAAAACACTACAGAAACCCTGTGTAGTAGAAGGGGTCTCCTTAACGCAATTTGTTCGATTGGTGTCACGACGAAAACGAGCCCGCTCGGCGATATCTCGGTGCAGTTGGGAGGCCATAAAAATACGTCAAAAAAGGCCGAGATAGTGCAGCCATCGCCGCTAAATACACAAAGGAACTTTCAAGCAGCTCCTAAAATGGACCACTATGTCTATCTAGCAGAAAAAATTATCATGCCTTTCCAGAGGCGTTGATCAAGCAAACAGCAAATGCTAGACAATGTGCTGCCATCTGTGAGGTATCGTGAGACTCTTTATGGCTCCGTGATAGCAAGCTCGCGGCGTGTATTTTTGAGGCCATGCCAATCATGCTTTAGATAAAAAATCTGCATGTACCATTCAAGCGCGCGCAATGGCACATTTTACTGTGCCATAGTGTGTGTGTGTGCGTGTGTGTGTGTGTGTGTGTGTGTGTGTGTGTGTGTGTGTGTGTGTGTGTGTGTGTAACAAAACATATTAATAAGTATGCCCTTAGCGGTTGAAGGGTGCACTAGGGGCCGCACTTCGCTATCGTGTTCTACTCTTAAAGGCAAAGCTTAAGGGTCTCCAATTCTTAATCGACTTATACAAGTAAGACGTATTTTGATACAACTGAAAGTGCTTTGTTGAAACAATGCGTCTCTATGGTTTGATGTTATCATGGGGGCATTCGTAAGAACCATATGAATTCCTCTAATGCGCTGTACCTCACACTAACACGAATTTCGGCTTTCAGAAAATAAAACAAGTCTGTGCGCCAGCAAACCACAGTAGAAGAGTAGGGAACGCACGAAGATGATGCCATACAGAAAACATTCCAAGCACACCCAAAACTGTGTTGCTGAACGCCAGTGCCGCAAAAAATTTTAATTGCTGCTTATTATACACGTGATAGGAAGTCAATAATGCGGAACGCAGGAGTGTCATGTCATAATTTTACTGCACTTAGCATGCTTACACGTAGAAACAGTGATTTCCGACACTGATGTGTTAATTTAAAATTGCTCCAGCGAAGTGTTAGATGCACCCGTGCATGAAACTCGTGTGACACAAACTCTATCACGGAAAAGCCCCTACGGCTCGTTAAACTACCTTCCATACACGCTGTGTGTGTCTGTACCAGTAAAATAAAGATGACTTCATAAAATTGGCATATCCCACGTACTGTGGGAATCGATATTATGCGAAGCAGTAATGAGGAAGGTTGATATGTCATTATAACATCACCACCAGGTTACAAGGTGCATGCGTGTAGTAAACTGTAAACGCAAGTGAAAATGTTACGCGCACTCAGGGATCTGGGTAAGATGGAAATGTGTTGTGTATAGTCGCGTAACGACGGCACCGCTAACATTTACAACAATACCAGCCAAAGCAATAGTAGGCATATAAATTGTGCCGTGCATGAGTTCCATGTCCTGAGTGTCATGTTTGCGCCTGGCATATGTGTCAGTACTTCATTCACGACATGTCATACCAAATTTGGTATATGTTAAGCTAGCGAAATGGCCACGAGCGCGTTATGAGCATAGCATGTGATCATATTTTACATGACACATATATGATGATTATCATGTTAGGACGCGTCATTTCATTGATCATCCGCTTGCGTCACGTAGTACCGAATTTGTTGTATGTGAAGCTAGCGATACGGCCACGTGCACATCAAGAGCGTAGTATGTTACATGACGCGCATGTCATGATTATCATATTTGGACATGTTATTTACTTTTGTCATCCATTTGCACCACGTAGTACCAAATTTCCTAGTGATGCTAGCGAAATGGCCACTAGCGCATCATGAGCGTGGCATATGTAGAGATGTTGTTACATGACACGCATGTCATGATTATCGTGTTTGCGCCAGTCATATACCTTCATCATCCATTTCCGTCACGTAATACCAAATTTGGTGTATGTGAAGCTAGCAAAACGACCACGAGCTATCCATGAGCGTGTGGCGTGCATTTATGACTTACATAACATGCATGTCATGATTTCCACGTTATGATGTGCCACTTATGTTCGCCAAGCAGTTATGTCATGTTATATCAGTTTTGCAATATGTCATGTGAATGAAACCACCGCAAGAGCAGCAAGATCATGCCATGTAAATTATCACAATTATCACCGTTAAATTATGACATTCATGGCGTACAAGTCATAATTTTCATATTATGACTAGTCAGTTATGGTCATCATACAGTCATTTTATGCCATACCAATTTTGGTATCGATACCATTATCGAAACGGCCAGGAAAGCTAATAGTCATAGGCGGTAACATAGATAGATAGATAGATAGATAGATAGATAGATAGATAGATAGATAGATAGATAGATAGATAGAGAGATAGATAGTTGATAGATAGATAAATTGATTGATAGATAGATAGATAGATAGATAGATAGATAGATAGATAGATAGATAGATAGATAGATAGATAGATACGCTCAAAATCACTTAAATTCGCTAAGCAATACTTGGCATTTAATAATTAGAGCAGAAATGCTTACCGACAAGGACAGGACGCAGGAGGAGAGATACACCAGTGCAGAAGAATACGCCACCTATAATCACTGGCAATGTGGCGATGCCGAAGTCCTTGACCAAAGAGGGCGCTAGCAGACACGACCGTGAGCCATACGTGGCGCCCACGCACGCCGACGCGACAATCAGTTGTGGCAACGTATTCATCCAGACCATCCACTCGTAAGTGAGTCCTTGAACTAAGAAGCCTAGTAGCATGATAGACTCATGGGACAACACTCGCGAATCGACGGCAATGCCCACCACGGATCTAAAGCCAATGTCCGCTCCAGAGAAGGCTTGCAGGAAATACACAGCGTTTGAAGGACTTAGGCCATGGTCACGGGCGAGGTCCGCCGGAATGAGGACGAAGACGCCAACTGTGAAGACTACGGCGGCATAAGAGAGCGCGTGTACAAGAAAGGTCAACGTTAAAAATTGTTTTGCGGTCTTTGGAAGACTGAAATTCAGTAGAGATTTTCTCACTACCTTCGGCTTCATAGAGCCTTCTCTTGAAAACACGCCGTGAGGCTTGGTTTCCTTCTCCCCTTCAGTAGAACAACGTGCTCCTTGGTGTCCGTTCAAGAGAGGACGCGGGCTCTGTGATCTGTTTTGCATTAATGTTATTTCACCGGTATCTCCATCAACGTTTGCTTTTTGAACTAAAACAACCTCTACACATGCATCGCCCTCTTCTTGAGGCTGTACAAGTTTTTTCGTCCCTTTCGCCTTATTCAGCCAAGGGGGGCTTCTGAGAACAATGACGGCCGGAATCGCATGTAGAAGAATCGCCCCGTAGAGAAGGAATGCGCCACGCACACCGTACGTTGTTCGAAAGAACTCGAGCAGCGGTGTGAGCACAATGGAGTTGATGCCGAATACTGTGAACACTACGCTGCTGGCTGTTGCTCTCCGCTTCTCGAAATGCTGGGCCAACAGAACGTTGCAGGCAACGAACATGCCACACAGCGCCCCACCTGCGAAATAAACAAGAAATAATAAGTTTGACGTGCATATTTTGTTGGGTGTTGCAGCGCCGCTAAAAAATGATTCAACGCGAGTGAACACAGCGCGATAGGTATTGTTTTGGTGGTTCGATTGTACGAAAACTTCGTCGAAGCAGTTTAGAAGACGCCGTGATTTTGTCGGAATCAGATTATTCGCTAAATTTTGTATATCCTACTTTTTTTTTTTACGTAACATGCGACAATTCATCTTCTATTGATGTTTATAGTAAACAAAAACTTTTTTTTTGTTCAGGGGATACTGCACTCGCACAGTTGCTTTCATTATATTGTAGCACCCATTATAATCAAACAAATTTCTATCAAAATCGGGAGCAGTAATATGCATGGCTTTGTAAGAGTGGAATGGTTTCGGGTATACCGTTCAAATCAGCTTTTCATTTGCTTTTGATACTTCACGACTGGAGGCACACCTGAAACATGCTCTGAGAAAATAAGGGTTCCAGTCAGTGGCTTTTTTAGAGTGCTAAAGTTTCTGAGAGCACCTACAACAAGTGCACGTGTGAAGTACCAAATACGCTTCAATTTGCCAGTCTGGAATGTAGCAAAATGCTAACTAGGCGCACTACGTATATCAATAAGAACATTGACATAGCTGCGTTCATTGTTGATGCTGTGGCACCTGCTGTCGTTCCCAACGATGGTGACTGAGCCTTTAAAGCTGTTCTACAGCACAAAATCACCTATTTGTTACGCGATTCGCGTGGTATGACACCAGCTACGCGTTTGCACTTTTGACGCTGAATAATACTTTCTTTATCCTGCCCGGTCAGGCAAAGTAACGCCTGTGTAGTATTCTTTTTTCAAAGCACTTGTAAACGCGGTGCGTAGTCCATTAATAAGACACTAGACTGTCCCGTTAAATAAAGGTAGTTTAACATCAGCTGAAACCATCATTTTAACTTTTTTTTCGTGTTCACTAGAGATGTTCAGTGATAATCAACATTGCTTGCAAAAAATTAAATTTGTATAAAGAATAACGTGAGTAATTGCGCTCACGATAGCACTTAGGCAATTAAAAATTGAGTTGATGAATGACTAGAGGTGGTAGCGGTAGCTTGGACAGCTCTGCGAAAGCGCGCTATATATATATATAATGTTCATGCACTTATTTCCCACCCGTTAATTTGTTCTGATGTGTTTTCACCGTCATTCGTCGCTGTCTTCTGTTCCTCTTCGCATAGTTTTCTCGAGAAACGTAGAAGATGCCAATTTTTCTCCTATGTTCACTTACGCACAACGCCGCCGACACCGAGACCACATTTTCGGTAAAACAGATTCCTTAAATAAATGGCGTTAATATGACATAGATTTTGAATAAGGAATACTACAACCACGTGTGGACGATGTATAATTGTAGTAAAATAGCTCGACGCAAGAGGGTATGTTGGCTACGACCCTTCAAGTGTCCACGTCTTCATCATTGACAGCCATACAACATTCTAAGGACAAAAGAAAGTTCCTGCCACTTTGCGCTGGACTTCTTTTGTTGTTAAAGTGCATGTTTGCTCCTCCCTGGATATTTACACGTATCACAAGAAAGGGGCGCAATCTTCTCCAGAGAGAGCTAATGCGCGTCCTTAAAAAGAAATATGTTAGGCAAATGAGGAATCACACACAGAGAGAAAAAAAAAATAGCAGGAAGGCCTGCGCGAAGCGTCCACCACAGTCACAGCGAAAGCTGGAAGAGCTACAGCCATTTTTATACGCCGTTGGAGTAGCAACTGATGATGCGCATTCACAGTACTCAGTATGCCATAAATCAGTATTTCAATGTAGGATGGAAGCGTCAACAGTGCCATTATTTGTCATTTTCTGGAAAAGCGTGGTACCCGCTACTTACTTGTAAGTCTTTGATGCACTTTCTTCATGCTGTGTCTGACGACGGTCAAAAATTAAGCAGGAGAATTTCGTATTACAAAATTTAGCGACTCACTCGGTACGCTATTTCAAATATGTGACGCCTGGTTGTTAAATTACTGTTCTCAAACTATAGTAGATATGAACACCGGCGGTGGTGGTCGACAACTACGGCACCAGAATCAACTTTTGTTGTTCTCTGAAAGCCGCTTTTGCTGCAAAAGCGCCAAATAACTCTTTATTCTCCTGAGAATGTAAATCAAGGTAAGCTCTCTTACAAATGTGTGCGAGTGACGCACATTTGCGATCACAAATCTAAATTTGGGTTCAAAGTGTTTTTTTTCATTACCAGCAACATCATTGTTGATGCGAAGGAGAAAAGAGTTGCGTTACATTGCAATGGATTATGTGTCCAGACAGGGCAGAGCGTAATCACTGAGCGAAAAAATATTACAAGAGAAATACGTATTTTCGTACCTTTCTTTGCAAAACTAATCATAACCTACTGGAAAGCAGGGTAGGTATAGAAACGCAGGTTTTCCACTTCCCATTCAGCTGACACGTAAAGTTTGTTTACTTCATCAACCAGCAAATTAAGAAGGTACGAAGACCTCGATCACCATAGTGGAACAGTTCAGCAGTACCCAATGCCCTATTGTATAGAGGATATATTTTTATAGTACTATATCAAATAATAAAGGTGATTACCATGAACAAATCCAAACGAAATTGTGATAAATAGCAGAGAATTCGCCAGGTAGCACAGGCTGGCACCAATTCCTGCCAGAGAAGAGCAGGCCAAGAGGACACCCCGGCACGAGAAACGTTGGCAGAGGTATCCAGCTATAGGACCTGCGTTCCGAATAGAGAGCACACGAATCATGCTTGTTTAGTGAGAACAATGCACAGCGACTTTACACAACTATTTCCTACAGTGAATAAAAAACAACTGATTACAATTTCAATTAGTATGCAACTAAACGACATTTGGGGTTATGAAAGTTGTGCTCCTGCGCATTTGTCAAAAGAGTACCCTCGTGAGAAGTGGTCAAAGGCGTCAAGATGCGTATAGGCATCGGCACGCTACTTCTCGCAAAATTTTCAAAGCCCTCGAATACGGCAACTCAATTATTATGACATTCCTCACAATCATATTGTGGTTTCGGGACGTTAAAGCCCAATAATATTTATTACAGTAGCTTGGGACACGAAGCTGTCAGAGGGTTACAGTTGGCCGTTCACTTGTAGAAGTTGCTTCGAACCTATTACAACCAATTGCAGGCGAAAATCGTCATTTGACTTTGACCTAGCCTACAGATATATTTATTCCGAAAAATGCCATCAGCTTTCTTTGCAGAGGTAAAAGCCTATTTGAGACCACGACGAGGCATTGAAGTAATTAGTGAGAACCAAAGTCAAGTTCGTGAAACTTTCAGGCGCATTGAGATAATTTCAAAAAAAGGCGCAGCCACTAGGAATGATGTTCGGCAATATGCACCACCTACCTCCCATAACGGTGAAGGTACCCGCAAGAGACAATGGCCAGGAAGCTTCAGCGCGGGTCACTCCGAACGTTTCTACGATTCCATAAAAGAAGATGCCAGCTAAACGGGGCGTCGCCATGGTGAGAAAGAGAACCCAGGCGCAGAAGAATGCGCTGATCCAGCTCCATCGAGAGTCGACTCCAAACTGCGGGTCATCCTTTAATTGGCACGCGTTCACCATGACGCTTGGCACGGCTATTGTCAGTACTGGAAGACCTGGGCGAGCATGGACTACTCGTCGTTTGGCTCCGGTTCGTTTGAAGGTGGTCAATGTGTTCAACGTTTTTGGTTGAGCTTACTCCATTTGCGTAACAATGAACAATTACACTCGTACTTCATCGCAGAACCACGTCATACAGGGCTGCCAGATTTCAGCGCGCTCAAGTGTTTCGCTACGTGGCGCTGGAGCCGCATGCAAGCGGACTAAGTTCACGCTCCTTGTGCGTGAGTGAGTAGTACAGAAATACCAAACAGTCGCTTACACTCTATCTGGTTGAGCCGAGATAGCTTTTTTTCTAGCAGACGTGCTTGGGTGTCTTCGGTGTTATCGCAGCTCTTATCCGGCAAAACATTCGCCCGAGGGAGAAAAATAGAAAAAAAAATATGCGTATACCGCAAAAAGATAAGCACGCTAATGGTGGTTATCGCCAAGGGTACGCCGACGAAGATCTACTCAGCGTGCTCTTGCAGAACAGTTGGAGTGTTTCGTTTGCAAGTATAATACGTCAGAAACGAAAGCCCGCCATAGGCTTCAACCCTAACAACTGATGTTTTTGTCCCAAAACCACGATACCATTATTAGAGACGCCGTGGGGGAGGGCCTCGAACATTTGGACTACCTGGTGTTTTTGAACGTGCACTGACATTGCAGCACAACACATGGTCATATTCCGGTTTGTCTGCACCGAAGTACAAATGTGTTCTTCTTGTACAGTCATGTTACTTATCACTCACCCAATCGTCAGCGTTGTGACACTCCCATTATTCACACCGCTATTCGAACGGCGTAGTGGTATAACTCGTCCTTCATTTGTCGGGAAAATTGATTAGCGTACATGATGAAGCACCACGTTTGCTCTGATATTAATGCAAGATTGAGTTATCCTGAGGCTCCACATCTACATACTGTCCGTCTTTTGGCAATGTACATCTCACATTCCTTACAAAATGCTAAAATGGTAGTAACAGGTAATATATATATATATATATATATATATATTTATATATATATAGCAACTGACTACGGCGGCGGTCACATCTGCAACGCAGCAGATTGTGCTAAGAATCTCTGGACTACAGGCCGCCATTGGAACCTGAACTTGGCAACGTTTAACGCTAGAACCTTATCTAGTGAGGGAAGTCTAGCTGTACTATTCAAATAGCTAGATGGTGTTAAATGGGATATAATAGGGCTCAGTGAGGTAAGGAGGACAGATGAGGCCTATACGGTGCTACAGAATGGGCATGTCCTTTGCTATCGGGGCTCGGCAGACAGAAGATAACTGGAAGTGGGGTTCCTAATTCACAGAAACATAGCTGGCAACATGGAAAAATATTATAGCTATAATGAAAGGGTGGTAGGCATTGTAATTAAACTGAATAAAAGATACAAGATGAAGGTGGTACAGGCTTACGCGCCTACATCCAGCCATGATGACGCTTCAGTTGAAAGCTTCTAAGAAGACGTGGAATGGGCAATGAGTAAGGTAAAAACACAGTATACTATAGTGATGGGCGACTTTAATGCAAAGGTAGGGAAGAAGCAGGCTGGAGACCAGGCAGTAGGAGATTATGGCAACGGCACTAGAAACGCCAGAGGAGAGCTACTAGTAGAATTCGCAGAACGCAATAATTTGCGGATTTTGAATACCTTCTACCGAAAACGTGAAAACCGCAAGTGGACATGGAGGAGCCCTAATGGCGAAAATAACAACGAAATAGACTTTATAATGACCGCACACCCAGGAATCGTGCAAGATGTGGAAGTGGTTGGCAAGGTACGATGCAGTGACCATAGGATGGTACGGTCTCAAATTCACCTAGACTTGAAGAAGGAACGACAGAAACTGATACACAAGAAGCCAATCAATGAGCTAGCACTGAGAGGGAAAGTACAGGAATTCAGAGTGTCGCTGCAGAACAGGTACTCGGCTCTTAGTGAGGAAACCAACCTTAGCGTAGATACAATGAATGATAATCTGACGAGTATCATTACGGAGTGTGCAGTGGAAGTTGGAGGCAGGGTAGTTAGACAGGACACCGGCAAGCTTTCCCAGGAAACGAAGAACCTAATTAAGAAGCGTCAAACCATGAAAGTGTCAAGTACAACAGACGAAATAGAACTGGCAGAGCTTTCGAAGTTGATTAATAGACGTAAAGTATGCGATGTAAGAAGGTATAACATAGAGAGAATTGAACACTCTCTGAAAAACAGAAGATGCTTCAAAGCAGTGAAGAGGAAACTTGGCATAGGCAAAAGTAGGATGTATGCACTAAGGGACAAAGAAGGCAAAATAACTACCAATATGGATAGGATAGTTAAAATAGCGGAGGAGTTTTACAGAGATCTGTACAGTAGCCGAGACAACCACGACCTTAATACTATAAGAACTAGCAGTAACTTAGACGACACCCCACCAGTAATGATAGAAGTCAGAAAAGGTTTGGAGAGCATGCAAAGAGGCAAAGCTGCTGGTGAGGATCAGGTAACATCAGATCTGCTGAAAGATGGAGGACAGATTGTGTTAGAAAAACTAGCCACCCTGTTTACGAGGTGTCTCTTAACGGGAAGGGTACCAGAGTCTTGAAAGAACGCTAACATCATCTTAATACATAAGAAAGGAGATGACAAGGACTTGAAGAATTACAGGCCGATCAGCTTGCTCTCCGTAGTATACAAGCTATTTACAAAGGTAATTGCTAACGGAGTAAAGAAAACATTAGAATTCAATCAACAAAAGGAACAAGCAGGATTTCGAACAGGCTACTCAACAATTGACCACATTCAAACTATCAATCAGGTAATAGAGAAATGCTCAGAGTATAACCAACCACTATACATAGCCTTCATAGATTACGAGAAGGCGTTTGATTCAGTAGAAATATCAGCCCTCATGCAGACACTGCGGAATCAGGGAGTAGATGAAGTATATATAAACATTCTGGAAGAAATCTACAGGGGATGAACTGCTACTATAGGGCTTCATAAAGAAAGCAACAGAATACCAATCAAGAAGGGTGTAAGGCAGGGGGACACAATCTTCCCAATGCTATTTACCGCGTGCTTACAGGAGGTTTTCAGAAGCCTAGAATGGGAACAGTTAGGGATAAGAGTTAATGGAGAACACCTTAGTAACCTGCGCTTCGCCGATGACATTGCATTGCTGAGTAACTCAGGGGACGAATTGCAACTCATGATTACGGAGTTACACAGGGAGAGCAGAAATGTGGGTCTTAAAATTAATCTGCAGAAAACGAAAGTAATGTACAACAACCTCGGAAAGGAACAGCGCTTCGAGATAGGTAATAGTGCACTTGAAGTTGTAAAAGACTATGTCTACTTAGGGCAGGTAATAACCGCAGAGCCTGACCACGAGATTGAAGTAACTAGAAGAATAAGAATGGGGTGGAGCACATTCGGCAAGCACTTTCAAATTAGGGCAGGTAGATTGCCATTATCCCTTAAGAGGAAGGTATATAACAGCTGTATCTTGCTGGTACTTAGCTACGGAGCAGAAACCTGGAGACTTACAAAGAGGGTTCAGCTTAAATTGAGGACGACGCAGCGAGCAATGGAAAGAAAAATAGTAGGTGTAACCTTGAGAGACAAGAAGAGAGATGAGTGGATTAGGGGACAAACGGGGGTTAAGGATATCATAGTTGAAATAAAGAAGAGGAAATGGACATGGGCCGGGCATGTAGCGCGTAGACAGGATAAACGCTGGTCATTAGAAGTAATTAACTGGATTCCCAGAGAAGGAAAGTGGGTTAGGGGGAGACAGAAGTTTAGGTGGGCAGATGAAATTAAGAAGCTTGCGGGTATAAATTGGCAGCAGCAAGCACAGGACCGGGTTAACTGGCGGAACATGGGAGAGGCCTTTGTCCTGCAGTGGACGTAGCCAGGCTGATGATGATATATATATATATATATATATATATATATATATATATATATATATATATATATATATATATATATAAATAAGGGAAAGAAGTGTATACCTAAGGGCTCGTTTATCCGTGTTTTAACGCAATATTATTGAGATCGAACAGACAGTAATGCCAAGGAACGTACAGGGGAAGTCACTAGAACCAATTGAATGTAAATAGGAAGAAAGAAAAGTGGATGAAAAAATAACCAGCCGTGAGCAGGAATCGAACCTACGACTTTCGAATAACGCGTTCGATGCTCTAACCACTGAGCTACCACAGCGTCCTTTTCTCCATCCACTGTTTTGGGGTTTATATGTGAATTTAGATGTAGGAGTGACAGTCAGCGCCATCTATAAGCCAAACGACGAGTGTGAAAACACTCTTATGCGCACGTTTGGCGTCACGTAGCACGTGAACTTATCATGAGCGGGCAGCTGATTAATTTTCCTTCTTATACAACCTAAACACACCAAGTCTGCCATTACGAGACCCTCGTTCAATGAAATAAGGGAAAGAAGGACACCGCTGGAAGGATGCCATGCTTACGGCCTTTGCTGTTTCAGGTCACTGTTACCTGGGCGGCATGCTGTGGGCTGCTGGGCGCCTCCTGGCCTGCTTCAGTTCTTGCGCCTAGCTCCAGTCCTACTTCACCATGTTCGACGCCCATTCATCGCGCAGTGAATGATTTCACCTGCTCGCGAAAGGGAAACGCCTCTTGGCTGACTGACCTCAGCTGTGCTGCGCACAGGGGAGTTTCTGGCTCGTCTTGGCTGGTACCCAATTCCTGGCTTCTGAAATGGCGACCGGTCACGCTCGGTTTTCCAAACATGGATGAAAACGACCTTCTCACCTGGCAACAAGGCTCTTCTGTCACGATGGCTGGACAGCACAGTGCTCTATTTAAGCGTCAGTCTACGATTTGCTGCTTTGGGCTCGACACCACTGGAAGGATGCCATGCTTACGGCCTTTGCTGTTTCAGGTTGGTTACTTAAATAATGCTTCTTGCATAAGAAGTAGCAACCGTTGCTTCCTTGCGGTGTCGTGCCCACCTGAACTTAGGAGTGTTTTGAAGCGATTATTATCTTGCATGTATGTATGTGGTGCCATGCGCGAACTTTTATTAATCCTGGCCGGTGATGTGGAATCAAATCCCGGTCCTATGAATAAGACGGAGGCCGACGCATTCGCTCTAGCCCTTACTGAAATACGCGATCTGAAGGAAAGTTACGAAGCTTTGCTCTCAAAACATGCTACCGCCGAGATTGAAATTAAGCAGCTAAAGCGCAAAGTGGAAACGCTTGAAAGAGCAAATGCTGTTCGAAATGCTGATGG